AACCCTAGCAAGCTGGAAAATAGGCTTTATCTCAAAAAACAAAACCAAAAAAGTCTGTTCATAAGGAAAAGGCAAAAAAGACTTAAATTCAAACGGAAAAAAAAATAATAGAAAGTAACAGACTTGAGAAAATGTATTTGGTGTTCTCATCTGTTAAATGGGAATAATCATTGCATTTACCTCACAGGGCTGTCATGAGGATTAAATAAACTCATTACAATCAAAGCATGGAAAATAGTGTCTAGGCCCTTACTGAATACTCAGTAAATATTAGTGCTAATTATTATTATTACTATTGGCAATGGCTCATGTTATTAGACCATCTCTTGCTTTTCTACTAGGGAAAGTGAACAGTATTAAAGGGATCACAATCTCGTGAAAATCCTGGCTGCCGAGCAACGATAGCCTGATTTCACAGAGGAAGTACACTAAAGAAATTGCTCAAGGTTCCCCCGATCCAGAAGTAAGAAGAGGTCATTACCGAGGGATCAGTGTTTCTGATTTGTGAAGGGAAGGCTATCATCTAAAAAAGAGATAAGGCTTGTTTTGCATTTTCCAGAGAGTTGGACTTGAATTAAATGGTGTAAGTTCCAGAGGGAAATGTCTGCTCAGTGTAAGAAATACTCCAACGTCAAAAAACTCTCATCTTATAAAAGGACAGGCTGCCTAGAAGGATAGAGTATACTGTTACTGAGTGTGAAAGTAGGAGTTTCATCACTCATGGATAATAAAGAAGATTCCTTAGCAAGTCCACACTAGGTGACAATAATGACAACAATCACCACCACAAGGACAGTAATGACAGTTGATACTAACTGCCCAGCACCGCTGTAAGGACTTTACCTAGAGTGACCCTTACCTCAGCCACCCAGCTCCACAGTCTGTGTTTTTAACCACTGCCTCCCAGTTCAGAATCCTGAGCAAGGTACCTAATGTCTCTGTGCCTCCATGATAAGTGAGGACACATAAAATGCGGATAATATGGCACTAATCTCAGAGGATACTGATGAAGATTAAATGAAACAATACATTTGTTTAGCAGCTAGAAGAGTGCCTGACATGTAGCAAGTACTTCATATATACTTTTTAATATAAAGGTCATATCAACTTTTAAGAAAACCTTTTTACTTGCATGGCAAGGTAGGGAAGGCATAAAGAACTGTCTTGGCTACAGTGAGCAATCTGACTCCAAAAAAAACTTTTTTTTTAAATCCACTAAATGGAACTCAAGGCTTGCTGATTCAGGATTGAGTCTCTGAACACAATGAGACATGAAAAATATGGGCAAAACTGCTAAAGTGAGAGTTCTGCAGTGAGATCAGATTCTCTGTATACTTTGTCATGGATGACTGTAACGTAAGACCTTGGGAAAAAAAACGGCCTATTCCATGACCCGCTGCTGACTTCTCTTAGCATCTCCAAGATCTTGGCCAATCACTCAACTCCACTTTCAGCAGAATACTTATTTGCTTCACACACTTGACTTTACCTAGTTCCCGCTTAACCAATTCCCAAACTTAGGTCAATCCAATCTACTTCTTTTGCACCGGACATCCAATGGCAACCTGTCATCCAATGTGGCCTAATAAAGCTCCTACTCACCCTTGTCACTCCTTTACAGATTCTCACAGAGGTAGCATTAAACCTTTACTTCATTCAAGCTTCCAAATCTACTCCTGCCCCACCCTCAAACATCCTACACTCCTTAAAACTTGGAAAACAGAGGCAATCAGATACAAATTCTTTTCACTTTTCATATACACCTGCCTCCAAACCCCTAAACTCCTGCAACACAAATCAGTTCAACATTTACTGCTATCTTTGCCTAGCCTTTTCACTCTCCTTCCTGTTGCAAAAGAAAAAAAAAAATTACTCTAGACAACCTTTCCAAGACCAACTCCTTCTATTCACTGATGCTACTCAGGAAGTATCAGTTACATCATCTTCTTCGGTTTGTTGCTTTGGCGACTATTCCCCCCAATCTCCCACTTCTCTCTTGGATCTTCAGACTTTTTCTACTCATCTAAAAACATGCCAATAAGAAAACAATTCTCAGTCCTGTTTCCCTCATAAGCCTTGACCCTTTCCCCCTTATATGCCAAATATCTAAGAGTGGTCTCTTGCTATAGGTATGTAGCCGGCTGAACTGATAAATGTGAACCACTGGAAGGCAATCCCATACAGGTTATTCTTGATTACAGTCGATCTTTTAAGTACGCTTAAAGGTTCCGACATCCCACAGCTGCAGATTTGGTGACCATTAATTATATGTTCCATTTACACTGTGTTTTTGAGAAACATCATAAAGGAAAATATACAACAGAGGTTTGTTATACATGACAAACTGTACCTTAACTCAATGTTGGTATGTGCTTTGGGGCTTCTAGCACAAAGTTTATAGATTAGCAATACTAATACCTTAAAAAGGTTTTTTTGAAGCTAATTCTTACATGAGCTAAGCCTATACATTCTATAGAGTAATGACTGAAGCCATGAGCAATAATATAATAATCTAAATTGTCTATATAAACTCTTAGAGCCTTATCTGATTTAAAACTTACCACCTATATATAAAAATAAACTTATAGAAATAAAAGCTTCTCTATACCTTCAGGGAAAAGGATCTGGTAAAAGCCCATAAAACAGGAGAACAAGATGTACTGACCAAGAAGCAAGCAAGCCAGTGAGGGTGGAGCACAGAAAGCAAGGGGAGGGAGAGGCAAGGGTCAGACTGCACAGGGCCTCCTAGGGCAGAATTAATACATTTTGGTATACCATAAGAACAACAGGAAGCAAATGAAAAGCTTTAAGCTGGAAGGATCAGATCTGCAATTTTAAAAGGATTACTCTAGTTGCTGTATGGAGGATGAACGGGTAGCCAACCAGAATGAGTGTGAAGGGACAAGTGGGAATTAGGAGGCCTAAGAGGGAAATGATGGTAGGCTGGATCCAGGTGGCAGTACAGATGAAAGAAGATAGATTCTGGAAGATAAAATCAATAAGATTTGGTGAATGATTAGATATGAGGGAAAGAAAAGAGAGATGTCAGTGAGATGTTGGTTTCCTGAATTTATATACACATATACATGGAAGGCAAAGTAACATCTTGTATAACATATAGCGAATTATTAACAGAAATTACCTATGGGTAGTGAAGATGAATTTTACATAGTAAAAGGCAGACTTTCATTTTTTTTTTTTTTACTATATAGATATCTGTATTGTTTAAATATTTTTATAAGCAGAAGGTATACATTATTTCATAGTTAAATTCAAATGCAATAAAAAGAAACAGCATTTTCCTGGGTAAAAAGGATAGAAATGGCATTTTAGGGAAAGGAACAATTTAATCAAAGGTACAAACACATGAAAGTACATGGCATATTTAGAGTATCAAGTGGTCTAGTGTTTACAGAGTAAGAAGGGAAGATGTGTAATTGGGACAGGATGAGCAGAGGATTAAACCTGTGTTAGAGTATAGCCAGCTCATGAAGGACCTTATCATATGTCAAGTTAAAGAAAGCATTCTCTACACTATAGAAAATGGAGAAGCATATAAAGATTTTAAGCAAGAGGATGACAAACTCAAGTTTATATTTTAGAAAGATCACTTTAGAGGCAGTGTGAAGACTGGGCCAAAAGGGAGGTAAGAAAATAGGCTGCGAGATCACTTACGCCGGAACTTAAGCTAAAGCAGGGCAACAGAGATAGAGAAGGGGAGACACAAGATTCACTTCACAAGTAGACAGGACTTGGTGACTGAGCTGGATTTGACACACAGAGAAAAGGGCAAGTCAAAGATGCTTCCCATGGTTGTAAGAAATTAGATAGGATGACATCAATTTAGGTAATACAAGAACAAGTTAAATGAAGAGATAATAAATTTTGTTTTGAAGGTGCTGAGGTTAAAGTACCTCTGGAAGCAGGTCAAAGTGCCCAACAGGAAGTTGGACACATACGTTTGAATTTGAGGAACAAGGTCAGAACTGGAGCACATTAACCCTTTTACCCAGAATAGAGAATTTTAAGCCTGTGGACACGATCTTACCCTCGATGTAATGAACTGAATTCTTGAGGCAACTGCCAAAAGTTGACCAGTTCCATTTATTCTCATAGTTGTAAAAATTCCACGTAATTGTTAAAGTCTCTGTAGGCAATAACTTAAAGTGAGGCGGAACATTTTGTCTTGGTTTCTTGGTCTCTCTTTTTCTTTTTTTTCCCCTTCCCCTTTTGTTTGCCATTCTTTCTATCTACCTACTTATCTAGTTAAGGAAGATACAGGAAATATAAGGAAGTATAATATAAAAAAATTTGCTATTAAATATTTTCATACTTTGTCTTAATTGTAAAAGGCAAAGAAAAGAACATTTCACAATTCTACCTTTAACAAAACCTAAGTTAAATAATGATTTACCTAGATGACTCTCCCCTGATTTCCTCTGGCAAGTCACTGCCCCTTAATTAAACGACATTCCCCAGGCAGTCAAGTCCAGCTGTAGCTTTAACCACAGAGGTTCCTGAAACAATTCCACGGTCCTGTTGTTGCTTACTGTCAGAAGTTTGAGTCACACTGTACCTTTGTCTAACCGATGATGCCCTAGTTTCTTGGGAGGTGGAGAGGAAGGACCTGTTGGCAAGGAAACAGCTGCTTCCTTCCTGAGCCAGGGAAAACCAAGAAGGTGACAGATGGGCAGAGCATAAAAGTAGCCAAAAGTTGCACTGGTTCCTTGTTGGCAAGGATTTTCACTGAGGCACGATTGGGTATTTTAAAGCATATTAATGACTGAGAGAGTTTCATCTGCCTGGGTGCTCTGCTGAAGTTCAACAGGGCTTCCCACACATCTTCTACAATGGAAAAACTTTAAAATTTGCAGTGGTACAAAGAACCTGGCCTCAGCCTATGTACAGTGGGCTAAGACTGCAAGGCACTGTCCCATTTCACTTTAGGATTATGCCCAAAAGAATGCACTTTCTGGTTAAAAAAAAAAAAAGAAATTCTGTATAGTAGCTATATTTGTACAACTTATTAGAATTACTATTAAAATTTCATTAGAAAATGTTTTTTAAATATGTTTACTTTTATATATTTAATTTTAAAAGATTTGTTGCAAACTTTTATATTCTGCTCTTTTATCACCATCCCCCATCCACTTCTGTACCCAGAAACTTAAATATTCAAGGATTCCTGGGTAAAACAGACAACCACTGGATGGATAAAACTAACATTTTAAAAATACCTGTACATAGGTAAGTTATTGTTCTTCATCAAATAGAAATTAGCAATCACTGAAAATAACATTAAAAATTAGTGTGGGCATGAAGTATGGAATTTTAAAACATCAGTTTACTATGCTGATTAATTCAACATTTATATTTGCATCAGAACTTAATAATCGCATAAATAAATAGAGCTCTCAGTTATTTTAAAAAATCAAGGGATAACATATGTATTTAGACATATTAGCAGCGTAAAGATGTATGCTTCAACACACTTATTGGGAAAACGTCTGAAAATATTACACTGAATTCAAGGGCACCCGCAGGAATCTGACATAAAAGTTCTCTAGAATAACAACATTTCAGGAAATTCCAAAAAAGGAAAAGGGTAAAATAGGAAATAGCCTCAAATTAATCGACAAAGTTCAGTGCTTGTTCCAACTTCATTTTTCTCTCCATTGCAAAAACAAAAACAAAACCGAGTCTCAGGATGGGTGGGTGAATCACTTAGATGAAAGTTCATCTACTGGAATAAATGGAGAGGCCGCTTGGGCAGGTGACACAGGAGAGTCGGTGGTAGTGCTGACTTTCGCTGGTGAATTACAAGAAGATCCGGCACTGCTGCTGTTTCCATCAAGGGTATCGGAAGATACACACACACCAGGATCTGACAGCTGTGCAACGTCAGAAGAAAGCATGTTGGTGATGCCCTGGAAAAATCTCTTTGGCTGGTATTCAGTTTCCATTTCACATTTTCTTTTCAATGGTCCAAGAACACTTGGTCTAATGCAATTAATTGGACTCTGGCTTCTCCGGGTAGTAAATCGGGTCGTTGGGCTGGGAATAGGGCTTGGAGGCAATCCATTGCTACTCACAAAACTTTGCAAGGACGGTGAAAAACACTGCTTCCCAATTCCCCGGGTGGGTGACGGTGCTGGCGACACCGGAATGAAATCGATGCGTTTCGGGGAAGCGGATTTCTCCACGTCGTTGTCACTCAGGCTGAAACTTTCCTCCCAGGAGTGGCTTATCTGCATTGCGTTCTGCACCTCGCGCTCGTGGACGGTCTCTCGATTGATCAAGTCCATGCCCTCCTCCTGTTTGATCTGGTGCAAGCGGCTGCTGTGCATGCGGACGGGGGAGGCCGGTAGTAGCAGGCCGTGGCGGTTCGGGAACGTTGTGCTGTTTCGCCTGGCGCTCGGCGCCTCGGCCTGGAACACCGGCGAAGTGTCACTGAGGCCGTGGATCAGGGGGGCGCTGTTAGACCTCCTGAGGCCCCCGCCGCCACCACCGCTGCCGCTGCCGCCGCCCTCCGCCGGGCTCCCAACCGTGCCTGGAGGCAGCTCCAGGTCCAGCTCCATCTTCTCCTGAGCCATGTCGCGGGCAGGGAGGCGGGGGCGGTGCTCAAAGACCTAGGATTCCCATTCCCCGCAGTCCAGGGCCGCTGCCGCCGCCACCGCCACCGAGAATCTGTCAGCGGGCTCGTCCCTCTGCGCATGCGTGCCCCTTGGCGCAGGCGCCCTACAATGTCTCTCTTCGTGGCGCCCGCTTAACGCAGAATAGCTGCGTCGCAGCCCTAGGGGGAGGGGGAAGGAGTGGTTGGGCCGCCAGTCAGTACGTTCCTTCCGCTGGTATCTGTGAGCGCAGACCTGCTTTAACGCATATTAATAAAGTTACCACCATATTCAGGAGTATATATTTATAAAATTAGAGCTCTGAAAGAGAGGTCCTTGGCGATGTGGGGCTGTATGATTACGAGTGGAGTTCGTCCTAACCAGAGAGGCCTTCCCTGAGCAAGGGACCATCTCCTGAGATCCCAAGAAGCAGGCCAAAAGGATGGGGTGTAGAACTGCCTGGGAAGCGGGAAGCGAGGGCTGCCAGCTGGGTGGCTGGCGGGAACCAGGAAGGGAGGGAGGGAGTGTGGCCTGGAGTGGAGAGTAAGCTGGCAGGACGTGAGGTGGTGGACCTTTAACCTGAGAACAGTGAAAACTCGGAAGGTTTTCCAGCCATGGGTATAATGGCGACTGAAAAGGTCCATGGCTGCAGTCCGGGGAATAACGTTACTGGGAGATTAGAACCTACAGAAAAAGACCAGAGAGGAGGCAATCCTCGGGGCCAGAGATGATGGTAATTTGCAGTAAGGTGGTACTGTAGGAGAGGAGTTGGAGAGAATGGGAAAATCTGGAAGCTCGGTCAAAGAGGGAAAAAAACCAACCTGTATTACTATTGTTTTATTTAGAATCGTATTTCCAGCACAGGCATATGTGCTCAATCATGTTCATTTAGGATGAGGAATTTAATGAGGGGAAAACCAATAGGTCCTCGAACTTTAAAAATAAAAACACAATACTTGGCTCATGTAAGTAACATAAACTTTCATATCATTAAAAATCGGTTTATATTTATTCTTTAGTGTCTTCAGATTTTTTTTGCACATAACCAACTGTGTGCCAGGCAATGTGGTAGGAATTAGGCCCTAATATGGAGACACATTTAATTTCTATTTGGGGGGGAAGAGATAAATATATGGGCTATTTTTCAGATAGTGGTAAGCCTTAGGAAAAAATAAAATAGGGTGGTGTGATAGAGCACTACTGGTAGAAGGGAGGGGGCAATTAGATAGAGCTGGGATCTAAATGACGAGAACCAAGTCCTGCGGACATCTGGGGGAATGAATATTCCAACCATAGAGACTAGCAGGTGCAAAGGCCCAAGGCAAACTTAAGTGTGGTGAGCTGGCAAGAAAAGAAAAAAGGGCCGTGCCGCTGAAGCATAACGGGGGGGAGAGGTATGAGGGGGTAAAAGAGTTTGGCTTTTATTCTAAGTATGATGAAAAGCCACTGGGGAATTTTAAGCAGGAGAGTGATATTATCTGGTTTATGTTTTAGATATCACTTTGGCTCTGCGGAAAACAGGCTGAAAGAGGGCAGGAGTGGAGACAAAGATGGATTAGGAACCATGGCAACAGTACAGACAAGAGATTACTGGACTAGGGCTGTATCAATGGCGATGGGGGAGAAGTAGATGGATTCAGGATATGTTTTGGAAGTAGAACCTATAGGATGTGCAGACGGATTAGATTTAGATGGTGAAAGAAACAGATAATTCAAAGGCAACTCACAGGTGTTTTACGTAAACTGGGTAGATGGCAGTATCATTTACTGAGATAGGGAAAGAGTGTATTTAGAGGAGTAGAAATTAAGAGTTCTGTTTTGCTTGATTTGAGTTGGAAGTGTCTATTCGATATCCATGTGCCTAGGTGAACTGAAAGAGAGCTTAGTGATTTTTGTCTGGCCTACTTTTTGCAGTTGAAGAAAGTAAGATCCAGAGAGGCCAGCATAGTCAGCATCACATAGCTTGTTTAGTAGTGGGAACCAGTACCAGAATCCAGTATGAGAATCCTAATCCATGCCCTCTCCACTGTCTCTCAAACAGCTTTTAATTTGAAGTCCCCATAGAATACGCATCCTGGTAATGAAATAATGTTGATCATTCATACCTCTAGTTATAGAAACTGATTTAAATTTTCCAAGTGCCACACGCTATTCAAGGTGCATCGTATGTAGAATCTCATTTAATCCTCACACTAACCCTAGGAAGTAAGTAGCCTTGTTCCAGTTTGCAGGGGAAACTGAGATGCAGGGATTCAGTAATGTGCCCAGGATGACAGGAAGCGGTGGGACCTCGCCCTTCGGGCTCCAGAGCATGGGCACGATGGTGCCTCCTCCACGTGCAGTAACACTTCAGACTAGGAGAAACCACTTCCAGATTGTTTACACCTTTGTGAGTGCAATGGTATTTGAGACAGAATTTGAAGGACAGGTAGGATTTTAATAGGTGATATTTTATATAGAATTGGAAGCATGAGTATAAAATAGCAAATCTGCTAATACATAAAGTACATGGAGACGAATAGGTAATGGGAAAAAGTTGGAAATTAAAGTTGGAGTCAGAGAATTGGAGCTCTGAATGCCAAACAAAAGTGCCTGTATTTAACGTGTGGGGCAATAGGAAGCCGTTGACAAGAGGAATGACACAATGAGAGCTATGCTTTAGGGCCTGCCAGGTGGATGGATCTTAGATAGAGGGAAGTGGAAGAAGGAAGGTGGAAAGAACCAACATTTTCTAAGTGCCCAATGCTGCCAGGCCCTTTAAACACTATAGTTCCACTTAATTCTCATTGTAATCCTACAAAGCAGATACTGTTATGCTCATCTTATAAAGGGACAAGTTGAGGTTCAAAAATTGCAAAAGGCCCTATAGCTACATGGAAGAACAAAGATCTGAACCAATATGAATCAAGACCTCACTTCAAAACCTATATTCTTTTTGCTGCTTTCCCCATGAAACAACGGACAAAGGATTAATCCCCCAAATATACAAACAGCTCATGGAGCTCAATATCAAAAAAACAAACAATTCAATTAAAAAATGGGCGGAAGACCTCAATGGACATTTCACCAAAGAAGACATACAGATGGCCAAGAGATGAAAGATGAAAAGATGCTCAACATCACTAATTATTAGAGAAATGCAAATCAAAACTACAGTGAGGTATCACCTCACACCGGTCAGAATGCCCATTATCAAAAAATCTAGAGACTATAAATGCTGGAAAGGGTGGGGTGAAAAAGGAACCCTCCTGCACTGTTGGTGGGAATGTAAATTGATACAGCCACTATGGAGAACAGTATGGAGGTTCCTTCAAAAACTAAAAATAGGGCTTCCCTGGTGGCGCAGTGGTTGAGAGTCCGCCCGCCGATGCAGGAGACACGGGTTTGTGCCCCGGTCCGGGAAGATCCCACATGCCGCGGAGCAGCTGGGCCCGTGAGCCATGGCCAATGAACCTGCGCGTCCGGAGCCTGTGCTCTGCAATGGGAGAGGCCACAACAGTGAGAGGCCCACGTACCGCAAACAAACAAACAAAAAAACTAAAAATAGAACTACCATATGACCCAGGAATTCCACTACTGGGCATATACCCTGAGAAAACCATAATTCAAAAAGAGTCACGTACCACAATGTTCACTGCAGCACTATTTACAATTGCCAGGACATGGAACCAACCTAAATGTCCATTGACAGTTGAATGGATAAAGAAGATGTGGCACATATATACAATGGAATATTACTCAGCCATAAAAAGAAACGAAATTGAGTTATTTGTACTGAGGTGGATGGACCTAGAGTCTGTCATACAGAGTGAAGTAAGTCAGAAAGAGAAAAACAAATACCATATGCTAACACATACATATGGAATCTAAAAAAAAAGAAAAAATGGTACTGATGAACCTAGGGGCAGGAATAAAGATGCAGACATAGAGGATGGACTTGAGGACATGGGGGTGGGGGGTGGGGAGGAGGAAGCTGGGGCAAAGTGAGAGAGTAGCATCAACATATACACACTACCGAATGTAAAATAGCTAGCTAGTGGGAAGCAGCAGCATAGCAGAGGAAGATGAGCTCGGTGCTTTGCAATGACCTAGAGAGGTGGGATGGGGAGGGTAGGAGGCAGGCTCAGCGGGGAGGGGATGTGGGGATGTTTGTGTGCATGGGGCTGATTCACTTTGTTGTACGACAGAGACTAACACAGTATTGGAAGCAATTATACTCCAATAAAGATCTATTAAAAAAAATAAAGATGGAGAATTTGATGGTTAACTCTGAGATGAAAAGAGGGTCTAAACTAAAGTTGGGAATGGCAGAAAAAGGAGATGGATGTGGAGACCGGAAGGTAACAACCCAGAACCTGACTGCGTGGCTGTATGGAGGATAAACAGAGAGGAGTCACAAACAACTGAAGTTCAAGCATGAGCAGCTGAAAGAATGGTACAACAGTACTGAATAAAAACAGAAGAGAGAGGAAGAGCTTCCGTAAGAAAATCAATATTAGATGAATAGGAAAAAAGTATTAACTATAGAGCTTATTTTATAATATCCATAGCATATTGCTAATTTGCATATTACTAAATTATTTCTATCAATAGTGTGCCTCAAATGTGCCAACATTGTTCATCCATGTCTGGATAAACACAATAATTATCTTTACTAATAAAGCACAGAGATGGTGATAACTACAAAATCAAACATACACCTATTAGAGATCTTCACTTGTTTCCCTGTTTCTACCCTTCTTTCTACAGTCAATTCTCCACCCTATGTTAAAGGTCATCCTTAAAAATAAGACCTGAAGAGTCACTTCCCTATTCAAAACTCTTTGGTGGATTCCCACTCGGGGGGGAAAAAGCCGAGGTCATTACAATGACCTATAGAGCTCTATCTGGGTCCCTGCCATCCCTCTGCCTACCCACCCAGTCACTGCCTTCCTCCAACTGCAGAGACCTCCTTGCTATGCTTCGGCATGCTCCCCCGCCACCTAGCTTACTCTTCTTCCAGTGGACATCAAATTGTTCCCTCCCTTCAGCTCTCTGTGCGAATGACCTTTCCTTGTAAAAAGCAACAACAGTTCCCAATACCAAGTCTACACTCCCATCCCCCTCACTCTGTTTTCATTTTCCTCCAGAGCACCACATGACAATATGTATACGTTGTTTTCTTGCCTCATCCTCAAGAAGGCAAACTCCATGAGGGCAAGGCCTTTGCTCTGTTCCTTGCCATAAGCCTAG